GTTTAATATTAATTTGAGAAACATTTGCGAAATTATCGCAGGGCCTACAAATTTAGTATCACCATCTTTTTATTCTACCGGGCCTGCGCTTTCAGAAAATATATGGTTTGGGGGGTCTTTTACAAACGCTAGCAACGCAGCAGTTGAAAATGAAATCAATAGGAAAAAATTGCAGAAAATTCAAAAATGGCTTGGCCAGCTGATTTGAAAAATGTTCCGGAGGGCTTGGCAGCGAAAGGGTTAATGGCACAGTCCACCTTTTGCAAAACAAAATGAATGCATTAACATTGATCTTATTAATGTGCATAAAAGCTTTTTGCATAGAAGCCTGCCGAGCATTACACCGCTCAGTCCGTTTGCAGGTGCAACACACAGGTTTTTGCTGTGTTTACCTCCAGCCCCAGGTTTATACAGAGATACAGATCTGTTCTAAGGCTGGAGGAACTTCGGGTGAACTAAAATTGTGGTGATGTCACCACCCTGCTGCTGGCACTTTGTCAAGTCCCTCTGCCTTGATGGCAGAATATTGTTTAAAAAAACAAAAAGAATTCTCCAGCGTAATGCATCTGCTCCTGAAGCTGGAGAGTGACACTGAATGCAGGAAGTGATAATATACATCACTTCCTGCATTCGGGGAATGGAGAGGAGATTAGAGGGAGATTTGTTTATCGAGCTCCCTCTGACCTCCTGTCACAGAGCAGCCGTGCCGGTCCCAGCCGCACTGGGCACAGCGGGTCTCGGGACCGGTAACAGCAGTGACCGCTGCTAATACAAACGATCGGACGTCTCCAGAGAAGCCCGATCGCTTGAATGTAAAGCTCCTGGCCGGACGGGAAGCTACTCATCGGACTCCAGTGTGACGAGAGGACAAGCTGATTTTTCAAGCCATGGCTATATTATTATGCAATATTTCATAATCCCCTGCCTCAAATATATTTTTAGAATTTCTATGTTTTTTTAGTCTTGACCATAGTAAATAAAGAAAAGATGTGCAAACTTATTATACATTTCCTGTAAAGCAGCTGCCCATATCGGTTCTACTAGAAAGCCAGTAACCAGAAGTAAAAACTTAAACGTGTACATCAACTGTTTTGTGTTGGTGATTATAAAATGCTCTCTCTCTCTTTCTTATTTCACAGGCCTCTGTTTTGGAAAATTTAAGACTAGCCGTCCGATCTCAGCTGGGCTTCACATCAATCAGACTTCCAATTACAAGACGATCCAGCAACATTTGGAACAGAGTTTACAATTTTGTGCGGTCACGCAGCTCAGGATCCGTGGCCTTGGCGTCAGCCGATGGGGACAGTTCTTCTAGCCGTGGCAGCAGCAGAGATGATCGGGGTGGCACGCACAGAGGACTCTTCTCTGTGGAGTCTGATGACCGTGATGGAGACCATGACAGAAGGGATGCGCAAGGAGCAGTTGGTGGGGTCGCTGCTCCATTGCCTCAGAAAACTCCTCCTGCTTCTGCCGTAGAGGCTTCAGTAAATGGAGGCGGGAGCTCTGCAACGCCAGCCTCCAGCAGCGGCAGCTCAGTAAATACCCGGCAGGACACGCGGGTGCCAGAACCAGCTATCGTCAGCCCAGCTCGCCAGCAACTCGGCAGTGCACTTAGCCGAATGACTCAAGGTTTGCGTTGGGTACGAATTACTCTTGGGAGGTCAAGCTCTGCAAGCCAGAACCAAAGCCCCCTGAGGCAGCTTGACAGCGGAGGCGTTAGGCGGGAGGATGACGATGATGTAGAGATGTTAATCCCCTCCTTAGACATTGATCTTAATGACTGCACTAGACCCTTACTTGATCTTGCTTCTGAGCAGGGGCAAGGACTTGCACAGCACAGCCCAACACCTCAAGGGGCCAGGCCATGCGGCCGCGACGGTCCTTGTGAATGCTGTGGAATTGTGCACACGGCTCAGATTCCAGATACCTGCTTGGAAGCCGTGCTCAAGAACGAAGCAAGCGACGATGAGGCATTGCTTCTCTGCTAGGTGGCACGCGCACAAAGCATCGGTCGATGTATGTTCGGAGCAATATCTAGTCACTGTTTTGTACTTCACAGAAACAAATGAGGGCCTGGAAAGTTCAGGCGGCAGTGAGCTACCCCAGGCACGAGTTCTGCTTCATGGCACTTCTGGTTATTACAGTGAAATGTTTTGTCCGCAGAAATATATAGGTGGATGGTCCGTGAGTCCTTGGCACGATGTACAGTTCGTATATAGTGTATGCTACAAAATGATTGGTTGTGTTTAAAGTGGGCCCATCATCTGCAAACAGCGCAGGCAAGCATTTTGTTATTTCTAAGCCTGTCTCTCCCCAGGGAACTGGTGACATTAGTGCAGCACCTTAATGATGCTGTAATGATATCAGTAGTAGAATTGAAGATATTCATTCAAATTGTTTGATTTTATATCCTGACAGATTTTCACTTTTCCTGAATATGCACCAAACTGTAGAGAATAGCACAGTATATGAATCCCAATTACCAAGATACAACATTTAAACCAGTCGATACAAAAAAAGGTATTAAATGGGCTGCAGCAGTGCATTATGGGTGCCTAACAGTGCCCGCTTGTACCTTTTTAGAGCTGATATTGCCATGTGATTGGCATATTGTGCCGAGATTGGCATGTGACAGTGACCCAAGATCCAGGGGTCCCCTAAAGGCATGTACAGTCGCTACTAGTGCCTCAATTGTACTACCATAGATGGGTATGTACTTTTTATGGTACTAAAAATGTGTGCTTTAACGATGAATCACCTTATTCGCATAGACAGATTGAGGTGGTGTATGGGTCACTTAATCCACTCATTAGCCAGGATAATGTGAGGTTTAATGGGATATTTTTTTTAAGATCGGTTCATTAAGGGGTTTGGAGACTTAAAATTGTTTCTCAGGCCCAGTATGGTACTGAAACAATTTCTTTTTATTAAAATACAGGATAACAAATTTGCTACTGGCTTCCCGAAATCACTATTTCCCAGGGAATAAACAGGCTGCATTTTCATCCTCCGATGACTCAACGCACAAACTTTTTGCCAGTGCAGGTGACCAGTGCACTTTAATGGCTCCATGAGCAAGTTCCCTTCCAACACCGTTGTTCAGTACAAGAGATCCCTTGAATCTGATTGAGGAAACCTTAGGATATTCAAAATAATGGGTCTCCTAAAAGTGACTGCAGGATGAAATGTGCTTGTTTCCCATAGCAGTCTATCAGGCTCACTTATACTGCTCTGGCTTGATATTGGGGCGGAGAAACAAGAACATTCCTTTCCTCAAACACTGGTGCGTGGGGCCCGGTATTTTGATCTTATTCCATTTGCTGAGTATTATGTTATATTTTTTTTTTGTATAAGGATGTAACACATATGTTTTTTAATTCTTTAGACTTTGTTTACTATTTGTATATATTTTTTCTGCATTGACATACTCCTTAACTGAAAGAGGCCCCATGGTACAGATGGGCTCATGTCTGTTGTAGAAGACCTCTACCTGAGATGTGTAAATGAGTGAAGAGGGTAATAGGGGGACAGACTGTGTGTAAAATGAAGCCTACGTCTCCAGTTCCAGTGTAAAGATCCAGTGCTGTCGGGTTCCACTGGCAAACTCCCTTGCTGCTTGTGCAGTTTGGTGTTGGCCTTTTCGTCCAGTGCCAAGAAGGGAAGTAGCATGTGCCACAGCCAGACTTTTTTTTATGAGCAGCACAGTGTTTCCCCCAATGGTTGCTGTAGAGGTAAGTCATTTAGACACAGTTTCCGCCCTCCCTTAACTAAATCACATTTGGGTAATGGTCTTTAAATTGTGCAGGTACATTATTCAAATTGTGACAGAGAATTGCAGATTCTGCAGTGTTAAAAGAAACCTGTGGTGGAAGAAATACTGTCTTTGTTTGAAACGGTTGCTTGATTGTCATGTTCATCCAATGGTATCAGTTGTTTTTTTATCCACTGGCCTTCAATAAGTATGCACATCAGGGGCTTCAGTGGCTGCAATCCTGTTTAGGTCAGTGGCTCAAAGCCAGAGGACTCGCATGACAGCCAGGCAGCTAATATTTTCAGGGAAACGTCAGCATCGGACAGTTTCCTTTTTAAAAGTAAGACTCCTGTGCAGGTAAAAATTTCCAATGAACTTGGTAGAGCCAAAAAATGAGATGGAGAACTGAAAATCTGATGGCTCATTGATCAATGTTTAGATTGATGGTGACATAACCATTCACATTCTGCTAGGTGCCAGCCTTATATCTGGGGGAGGAAGGGGAGCTTACAAGATCTGCTGCAGATAATTGTTTGTATAGATCCCAACAAATCAGAAAAGAGTGGAGGGGCCCTAATATAAGTATGATAATGTGGTAGGAAGAGAATGGACAGCAGCAGACCATCTCTGATATTTACTTATTTTCCAGTTGTCCTGATTTGGTATATTGTAAGTTCTCCACCATTTTTAAAGGGGCATTTGTGACTTTCCTTCACTGTGGGGGATGTTGTGCATATGGGGAATGTGGCTTTGTCATTAATCGTAGTTTGCATTTTGAAATATTGAAAGCATGCGTCACTCCCAAATAGGCGTCTACATGGGTAACCATGGGGATGGGTAAAAAATGACTTTCTTGATGGCCAGTTGATATGCAACTGTCTGCAATGTTCAGGCACTGCACTTGTAAGCTACTTGATAGGGCTTTAAGTAAAGGGAAATTCTCCCCTCACACCAATTTGCTGTGTTAAAGGAGAACTCTGAGAATTGTTGGTATGGATACTGGCCTGAGGGGAACCAGGGATCCATTGTGCCCCTGCTACTGCCATCCATCAATAAAGGGGACCGGTTTAAACCTCCCAAAACCCACTGTCTATGCATGCATAAAATCGATGTGACACAGAAAGGCTGTTTTACAAAATCTGCCCAAAGATGAAAGCAGAGCGGTTGCCTATTACAACCAGTGAGATCTCACATGGAACTAGGTGCTCGAGGGTTTTTTTGTACCAATGCTTTGAAGCAGATGGTAAGCAGCCACAGAATATGGAGCAGAAAGTAAACTTTCCGGGAACTCTTGATCCTGGGTGCTGGAGATTGGCTGGCAGATTAACATCCCTAGCTCATCTAAGCCACGCCCATCATTTAGTGTTCCTTTAAATTCTTTTAAATCTTACGTTTTTCCACATAAGAGATTGCAGAAGCACCTAAGAGTGTTGCTTTCTGCTGTGAGAAGTACCTCAAACTAGAAGCTAGGCCTGAAGGTCTCTTGGGTTACATGTTGTATAATAGTTTTGGCTCATAGTTGATGCACTTTTGAAGTTGTATAAACACCTTCAGCCTCAGTGTGACCTTCCTGAGCTATATCAAAGGGGGCCTGCCACTTTCAACAGACTTACAAGCTTTTTAAATAAGCTAGGGCAAAGGTTCATGAAAGTGAAGTGACCGATGGTGACCAATAAAATCCTTCCATTTGTCATGTAATAAAAAAATACACCCCATGGAAATTAACAAAATTAGGCAAACTTTACATTTTCATTCAGACGATACCTACAGATAAAGATGATCTACCTCCATAAAAACGCAAGGAAATTTTGCCCTTTCAATAATTTAATCGACAAAAATATAAATGTTTTGGTGTACTGTGGAAAAGATAAGTACGCCCTTGGCTTAAGCAGCACGTAGGCATTTTGCATAACTGGCCACCAGTGACTGACATCAGCTCATTGAAAGTTTTTTTGACCACTAACTTAAGCAAAATCCTTCTGCTGCAAGTTTTGTTTCTTTGCATGCACTGTCTGTTTTTAAATCCCCTGACAACATTTTAATTGCATTCAAGTCAGGATGTTGACTAGGCCATTCCCTAACCCTCCATTTGTTTTCATCTTGAGCCATTTCTTGGTGAATGGTGCTTTTGGGTCATTTATTATGTTGAAAGATCAATTTCTGGTTTACATTTTTTTATCAACTCATGGTTCTCATAACTTGAAGTAGGTCCTGAAGCAGCAGAGCAACCACAAGCTTCAACCTTTCTACCAGCGTGCTCGTACCAACCTTGGTATGAGGTTCTTCTCCTGATATGCTGCCTTCAGTTTGTGCCAAACATGTCTACTGTTATGGTGGTCAAATAACTGTTAGATTCCTTAGTCCAGTTTGACATCAACTGTTGCATGGGTTCCCTGCAGATCCTGCACTAAATGTTGGGGTTCTAGGAAATTCCTATCAGCAGCAAACTGTCAGCTTTTTGGCTGAATTTGCTTGGCTGGCCAATCCTGGACAAATTATCACTCAGTTGAAGTCTATGCAACTAACTTGTAGATCATTTTCCTTACAGTGGATTGATCAATTTTAAATCATTTGACAATCTTTTTAAATCCCGTGTTGGACTCGTAGGCATCCACAACCTTCTTTATGAGGTATTAGAGAGCTTAATTGATCTTGGCATGATGGCACACGTGCCAGTATCAAAGAACAGCAGACCCTAGATGTATGAGGGTTAAATAAGACATGCTCTTGTTGCATACTGCCTGAGTAGGTTCTTATCATTGGCACCTAATCTTGAACACTGGATTCTGATTTCATGGATTTAAAGTGGTGGTGAATGAGTGATGTGTTCACATGACAAATCGGCATATGCGTTCATTTAGATTATGAGATTTAATACACACGTCATTTATTCAAACAGTGCCTACAGATAAAGGTGATGTACTTGATTAAAGATCTAATGTTGGCCTGTAAAAATATGTTTAAAAAAATTAATAATTCCCATGAGGGTTTTTCTTACTTTTGAATGCTTTTTACCAAGAACTCTGCGAAGGTGAAGGTAAAAACGTAAGAATCGCTCTCGTATTTCCTCTACCCAATTTCATATATAGGAATATCTGTAAAATAACAAAAGCTCTCACATTGTAAGCAGCGTTATTATTATGAGTGTTTATTTCTCCTTGTAAAGAAAGGAGGTTAAATCTGGCAACCCCATGCACTTGGACCTTTGTCTTCCTTAGGGTGCAAACTCTGTATTTAGCAGTTATATTATCAATGCAGAACACATTCTAAAGCAGGTTGTCCTAGCCTGCAACCCTCCAGTGAATCTGAAAACCCTCACTTGCTAGGGTCTAGACCTATATTGTCTGGATTTGTATCCTATGACATTATAAGCCCTTAATGGCCTTTAATAAGGCAAAGCGCAATGCGTTTTTATCCTTACCAGCCACTTCGCATCAGTCTTTACTTTTATACAGTTCACGTGATGGACGTAAAATGTTGCATTCCTGTCTGGGTTGCGGTTGATTAAAACCTATTGGGTCAGCGGGAGACCAGATTTTTACCTTCATAGGGGTCATTTCACAAAAGCTATACTGTATTTGTTGTAGGCTGTATAGCAATGATCTC